GTAGAGGAATTGTAAGGGATTGTAAGTCTTCTCCCTCTGCCTGGAACTGTCCCTTTTTCCAAATGCAGCCACAAGGTCAGTCTTAAAGTATGGCTGCAGAAATGCCCTCTATCTATCTTTATGTAACTGTTCAGCAGTTAGACCACTGGCCTGAGGATGTTGAGTGAGCTGGATTCAACTCCTTCATGACCAAATGGGAGGTAGGTTGCCAAATCTCAACCTCCTAAACAGCACACTCACCCACCCCACCAGCAGTAACCTGAGAGGGCCCTGATGGCACTGCTAGCCCTTAATGGCCCTGACCTAGGCTCCCCATCCACCCACCCTGCATATAGACCATGGCTCCATTTAAGCCCACGTCTGGGACTTCAGTCCTTGCCTGACCTATCTAGTAGATGGATGTGCCTTCTGTTTAGTCTCCTGCCTTGTTTCCTGGGTGGATCTATGCTGTAGCCCCATCTCCAGCTATGGTGTCACTGGATTCCCTTTATACAAACTCTGCACCTGATTCATTGTTTCATCTTGCCCAGGACTCTCTCTGCACTCTGCTGTGACTGCTCTGTTCTGGTGTTGTGGGGCAGAGCTCTGGCTGGTAAGGATACTGCCTGCCCAGTGGTCACCCTCAGCTCTAGGCTCTTCTTCCCTTGGGCACCAAGAAGCCTTGCTCTTGCTGCTCACCAAGAAGAGTTATAGCTTCTTGTTCCTCCCAAATGTGATAGTCAGGACACTTCTTTTCTTGCAGCAACTAGTCTGGGAAGTCTTGTGTATACCCTCTTTCCCCCCTCCTTAACGCATAGTACAACTCCCATTGTTCAGTGTTTGCTTCAAGTCCTTTTAAAAAAGAAAACCAGTTTACACTGAGTGTAAACACTGATGCAATGTGGCTGTTACAGACCAGGACTACAGGGCTCTGCTCTGGCCAGCTCACCCAGGTCTCCCCTAGTTGTTCCCCAGCCTCTGGAGCCCTCCTGGCCTAGTGCAATCACACACCCTGCAGAGGTGACAGTGCTGTCCTGGCGGTACATCACAGAATCATAGAATCATAGAATCGTTAGGGTTGGAAAGGACCTCAAGATCATCAAGTTCCAACCCCCCTGCCATGGGCAGGGACACCTTACGCTAAACCATGTCACCCAAGGCCTCGTCCAACCTGGTCTTGAACACTGCCAGGGATGGAGCATTCACAACCTCCCTGGGCAACCCATTCCAGGGCCTCACCACCCTAACAGGAAAGAATTTCCTTCTTATATCCAACCTAAACTTCCCCTGTTTAAGTTTTAACCCATTACCCCTTGTCCTATCACTACAGTCTCTAATGAAGAGTCCCTCTCCAGCATCCCTATAGGCCCCCTTCAGATACTGGAAGGCTGCTATGAGGTCTCCCATGCATTACCACCTTCCAGTGCTTAGGGTGTTTAACAGGCTCGGTTCTTGCTACTATTCAGGGAAGCTGCTTTTCACTCCACAGTCAGAGCTCCACAGTGTATGTTCGCATTTTCAGAGAGGGAATATTGTGAGTAAGGGTACACGGTGCTTGGATGACTGCCATGTGCATTTATTTTTCTCCACAGCGCTCTGGTCATGGCCTTGGTACTGCTCCCCAGGTGCTGCGGGAAGTGGCAGGCACTCACAGGTGCCCCTCACCCCGCAAGTCTGCCCTACAGCAGTACTCCGCTGCGGCCACGGCCCAACCAGCCCCCCTCCGCCTTTACCCCCGTAAAAGGGATGCTGCGTCCCTTTGGGGACTGGGGCCGCCGCTTCCCCCTCAGAGCCGCCCTTCCGCCGTCCCCCCGCGCTCCCCAGCGGCAGAGCCCTCCCGCTTCGCTCCACTCGCTGTCGGGCGGCGCTCCGCAGGGCAGAGGGAGGCGGTGCGGGGTAGCCGTCGCCCCTCTCCCGCCGCCCCGGGAGGAAGTGACATGGCAGCGCCGATGGGGAGGGAAGGCGAGGGGCGCCCTTTTCTTCCTGGAGCCGCCCGGCGGGTGGAGCCTGGCGGCCCCGCCCGAGCCGGCCGCCTCCCGGCGCGTGCAAACTAGTGGCAGTTGGTGCGGCTCGGCCGCCGCCTTGTCGCTCCCGGTGCCTCAGCGCGGCGCGCATGCCAAGGTCCCGCGGCGCCAGGTACGTGCTCTTTCCCTGGCGGCCGGCGAGCTCCTCAGGTGTGGGGCCGCCCTTCTCCACCCGCCCTGGTGTCTCGTTCGGAAAAAGCAGCCCTGAAGCATCCCCGTCCCAGCTCCCTTCCTAAAACAGCCACCTCCCGGCGCGCTGGCGCGGCAAGCCGAGGGGCCGGCAGCCGCCGGCGGGATGTGCGAGCGAGGCGGGGCGCGGCTGGGCGGGAGGCGGGCTGCGGACAGAAGTTCCCTGATTTATTCGCCGCTGGGCCGGGTCTTCTCAGCCGCCGCCGTCGCCTGGCCCCGTCGCTCCGTTTTTCCTGCGGCCGCCGAGAATTTTGTTGCTGTCCGCGGGCCCCCTTTGTGTGGCGAGCGCGGCCCGTGCCGGTGTTTCCGTGGAAACGGGGGAGCTGCGGCGGCGGCCTTTGCACGCTGAAGGGGGGGCCTCTGACGGCCGGGCCGGATCGGGCGGTCACCGCGGCCCCTTCCACTTTCCTTTCGGTCTTGCCCCGGCGGGGCTGGCGATGGCGGGAGGAGGGTGCGGGCAGGGCGGTTGCTGTGGAAACGGTCCTGTGCGGTCGCCTATTCGGTGCCTCCTCCTCGCCGAAGGCGCTTGTCCGTGGCGGGAGGGGGTCGTGTGGAGAGGCGTGCAGTTACAGTCACAGGTCGCGGTGGCTGATTTTAACATGGTACCGAAAATCGTGCCGATGAGGTGAGGTAGCGTGAGCCGTGGTTGGGCGGAGGACTGGGGAGCCTGCCTCTCTGGTGATGTGCTCACGTGTTGTAAAAGCCCTTCATCTCCCTGTGTCTCTTAGAGATATTTAAGCCGAATTAGGTAACAACCACAAACTGGTTTAAGGTTTGTCGACCGATACCAAGTGGTGAAAGGAGAACTCTGAGGGGGGTGTTGTTTAAATACGAAGTAACCCTTTGTAGCATTTGTTTCAACAAGTGAGCACTTGCATATCTAAAAAGAAGCAACCAAGAAAAGCATCTGTTTGAACAATGTCATATGGAAACTTCTCATCTGTATCTTTGTTATGCATTTCTAAGAGTTGTGTTTCTGGAGCGTGTGTAGACATTTAAGAATGCTGTACCTTATGCAGGTACTTGTATTGGAGAGCAGCCTTGCTGCTGTGTCAAAACTGACAATACAAGAAGTGGAAGGATACAAGAAACATTCTCAGAAAAAAAACCAAACCAAAACAAAAAACACAACCAAAAAAACCCACCACTAACCCCCCCTCCCCACCCCCTCAAGCATTTTGTTAAAACCAGCGATGTATCCAGCTCAGGAAGTTGTGCCAGGTGATTGTAGCCTCAGCTTGTACTGGTAATCACCTCACTAAATTGCAAAAGAATTAAAAGCTGGTGGAGTAGAGACACTATTGCAGCCATATTCTCTAACTTCTCATGTGAATGATAAGATTACTGCAGACATACAGAGGACTGTTTATGGTAAACAAGGCCTATCTCTGTATAAAGACTGACTGAGTGGATCACTAAAGCAGTTGCTTGTGCTGTAGATGTTTCCTGTCATTTACTGACCAACAGCTTTCTCAAGCTGTTATCTGATCTAATGTTGTGTTTTTCCAAATACAGTGGTTTAAAATACATTTCGATCCATTTTAGGAATTTGTGTAAATATTATGCATAACTTTGTTCTTTTCTATTAATGTTTTGCATAACAATGCCTAAATAAACTGTGTCTAAAAATGTAGCTTCAACCGCATTTTCTGGAAGACAAGACGGCCAGGATTCATGTGGAAGAATAAAACAGAAAGCCTCCAATGAGCAGGGGAAATATTGTAGACTGCTGATGGATAAAGGTTGCTCTTGAGCAAAGTTTGCTTGTGTTGTTGGCAAGTACTTTAACAGATTTTTAGTATTATATTTTAGAAGTGGAGAAACTACACAGTGAGGATAATGCTTGCCCAGAGTCACAGAACAGAGAACACTATGCCCAGAGCATGGTAATGAAGTGTGTTGAGACCCAGGAGGTGTCAGTTTGGTGGGGAGGTTGTTTTCTTTCAGCAAGTCTTGTTCTATCCACCCAAAATCCAGGGGCACTGAAGCGTCTTTGCATTGGAATGAGGCATGCTTTCCTGGAATGACAGTTGTACATCATTTACAGTTTAGTGCACTTACTGTTCCATAACAGAGAAGACCTGTGTAGAAGGAGAGTTCTCTTACAGGAACTTGATGAGAATCCTATGCCTGTGCTCTGCCCTGCTGAAAAGAGGCAGCTTACTGTTCTCAGTTGTATACCCTGATTTTATTGTTGGAAGGTGAAGGCCGGCAGTAACACCCCTTGAAATCTCTTCGGTGCAGGAAGACACTGTCACAGCTGTGGTGAGGTTACCAAGATGATATTCCCGTATCACAAAAATGCACTTCTGGGCCTTAGAACTTGTATTAGTAATTCTGGTTTAAATTTTAAAAAGCCAAATATCCATTGCATGATGTAGAAGAGCACTTCCCTAACTAATTGTGTCACTACTGCTGCTGTTGATATGCCCAGGGAAGGGAGCAGATGAACAAGAAGGCAACAATGCATTGTTGTGCAGTGTGCCTATGCTTTAGTCAGTGAAAGCTTTTGCAACTGTGGGCCGCCTTTGTTAGGGAACATGTTATGTGAGTCAAAGCAAATTTCTTCTGAGGTGTGTTTGATTTAGCTGTACTGAATGCAGTGGACTTTTTTTGTGAAGAAACTAGAAATGTGACTGAGAGCAATACCCTGTACACTTTGTTGTGTTTTGGCGCTGGTACGTAGCAGCCCAGTATGTGTTTTTTCCCCAGGTGCTTTGTCCACAGGCTTGCTTTGCCCAGTGATTCAGTTTCAGGTGTTTGGGAAAGTTTGCCCACCAATCTTTTGGTGGTTTTAAACTCATTCACATCTGACTGTGTGGTGAGTACCCTGAGCACCTCTGACTAATGCTTGTGTGCTGCACAGAAACTGCTGACTCATTTAATTTTTATACTTTTCCCCTGTCTTCCTCCAGAGCCTTGGACTAGAGATGTGGTAGGGTCAAGGTAAGGTCAGGGGAAGAGGAAACAGAAATGAATGAGTATAACTGTATGTGTGGCAAGGATGAAGATGCTGAAGAAAACCTTCTTTGGTAATGTGAAAAAAAGATGATGGCTGTAATGGATTTCCTGAAAAGGTACATAATAAACCATATGTTAGGATCCAGGCAAAGCTGTCGAACAACTGTAGTGATCCCACAACTGGGAGATGCTGGTTTATGGTCCTGTTAGTGGTATGCTCTTCATTTTGAACAAAAAGCCTTTTTACTCCTTTGCCTCCGTTTGCACTTTCAGCCCTTCTGTCTGTCTGGTTATATTCTGCCATGAAGAGCTTAACACTGAAGTCATTTTCTGCTACTTGCAGAAGAGCTGACCTGGCTTGAGGTTTCTGCTGTAGCATAAATAACAGGAACAGAGAAAGACAATTAACCAGTTCTAGGCTGGAAAGTCAGAGGTAGAGGTCACTTAGCAGAAGGAGCTGCAGGCGGGGACAAGCACACTGATTTCACATGTATCTGTGACTGTTTATTAACGCCTGAAAAATTTCTGGTGTGCACTGGATTTCTTTTTAATCTGACCAACAACAGTTAAATTTCAGTCATATTTTCCCAGCAGGATTCAGGTGAACGAAAAGGTTTGCCTGTGCAATTCAGTTAGCAGATTATGCAATTTTTTTTACCTATCAGGAAAAGGGGAAGAGCTGAGTTAAACCCTGCTGTTAAAGATGGGGAAAGAATATATTTGGGGGAAGTCTGTGTGTAGAATTGACATGTGACTTTTTATCAATTTAAACTGTCAACTACTGTGTGAAAGTTAAAACTGTGTCCTGTTTTTCCCTGTCTCCATGTTATGCCTCTCTTTATGCATCACAGTTTGCCTTTTAATCATGTTTTTCAGCACTTCAGAATATACCATTACTACAGATGTTGCTTTTATACTTCTGGAAGGTCTGGAAGCATTCTGCCTGCAGGAGCCTACACCTGCACTTGAATCATGTATGAGGTTTCCCTCCTTTAAGTCACAAAGGCTTTAGTTTGTTTTACGGTTGAGGGTATGTTTAAACAGTGCTTAAAATTGCACAGACATTTACATTTTTTATTTTTATATTGAGCCTTCAGTGTGTCACTGACTGGTTTTCACACGCCTATGCCTGTACTTCTGAGAGTGTGCATAAATACTGCATTTCACCTAAGATGGAGGCAGAGAAAGGATTTATTCTGAATTTAAGCCTTGCAAAATGTCTCAAATTTATTTGAAGTTAGCAGGACAAATGCTCAAAGCAAGGCTTTCAAAAAGATTTAGGCACCTGAAATGGTGCAGAGATGTAAAAAATCCAGGTAGATGTTGAAGCACCTGATGCTTAATTTAGTGCAAAATTTATAAAAATGTTACTGGATTCTTACCAGGATGTTTAGGAACTGTAACATCTGCACACTTGCCATCCAGTAAGGTTAAGTGCTGTTGGATCAAACACTATCTCTGAATGATTTTGCTGGAGGTTTAAGGTGGTTTTGCCACCTTAGACCTGGCTAAGGTGCTGAGAATACAAGTGCATTAATTAGTTGTATTTCATTTGACTGGTTTTGAGGGATAATATTTTCTGAACAACAAGGACTGTTGAAGCTTGTCAAGAGGTTTCTTTTGGCTTCAACAGGATTTGAATCAGGTCCAAAATGAAACTTCCCTTTATTATTGGACTTGATAAATCTGGGGATTGTGATGAAGGCTTTTATTCTCTGAAGTTCTCAAATTAAATAAGGCTGTTTGGGGACTAATGATCAGGAAAATGAGGACGCTGGAAGTATTTTGAGTTCGTGGTATAGCAAAATAATTCTGAACACTTGTGTCTTGGAGGCAGAGGTGAGTCAAACCTGGTGTAGAATGGGACCACTGAAATGTGGTTAGGCAGCCACCATGTTTATTTGGATTTTTGCCTGGCATCTGTGTCGTGGTTTAAGCTCAGCCGTAAATCATACAGTTGCTCTCTCACTCCCTCCTCTTTCCTTCCCCCGCTCCCGGAGGGATGGGGAGGAGAATCAGAAGGAATGCAACTCCCACGGGTTGAGATAAGAACAGTTTAGTAACTAAGGTATAACACAAATCACTGCTGCTACCACCAATAATAATAATGATAAAGGAAATAACAAGGGAAGAGAATACAACACCTCACACCCGCCAACTGATACCTCGCCCCACCCAGCAGTGAACTTGCCCTTTCGGGTAACTCCCAGTTTACGTCCTGGGCATAACATGCTGTGGTATGGAATACCTCTTTGGCTAGTTTAGGTCAGGTGTCCTGTCTCTGCTTCCTCCTGGCTTTCCCTCCTCCCTGGCAGAGCATGAGACTTAGAAAGTTCTTGGTCAGACTAAACATTACTGAGCAGCAACTAAAAACATCGGTGTTATCAGCGCTGTTCCCAGGCCAAAACTCAAAGCCACACCACTGCACTAGCTACTAAGAAGGAGAAAAAAATAACTGCTACTGCTGAGCCCAGCACAATCTGGATGTCTGATTGTGTAGTGTATAGGTGCAGCTGAGCCTTACAGTGAAGCCGGCATTTATTTTAGAAACCATGTCAAACACATCTCAGCTGTAAGACGTGTTTCCCTAAGTATTGGGTGTTACCTCTTTAAGGCAGGAGTTGGTTTTCTTTGAATAATAAATCTAGAAGCTTCGCTGTCACATTCATTCTCCAGCTGAACTATTTTCTACAGAAAGAAGCATTAGAAAACACTTAATGAATAAATATTAGTGTTCTGCTTATCCCATCTTGGTGTGGTTACATCTTGTTCATACTCTCAAGTGTCATATGATAGTATACAGCCAAATTAAATTAATATTTGGAGGTTAAAAAATATCTTGTGTTTTTCTGTAACATTTACTCAGTATTCAAAGAGCATGCTAATGGATGTTATTTCCTATAAGTTAAAAATATGCAAATGGATTAGCTGAAGGAGGCAGTCTACTGTAATAGAAGATCAAAAAAACTAATAGCTCACTTGGAGTTGTAATCAGGTGGATGGCACTTTTTGTTTCTAGCACTATCAACAACATCTTGTGATTTGTCCTGGAAGCTTTTGCTCTATCCCTTCACATTTCAGCACTGTTCCCTCATATCCCTGTGATTCAGAAGCATGGAGGATGTGGTGTGTCCCACCCCACTGTGTCTGTGGCAGTATTGTCAGCGGGGCTCAGATCCACCGAGTGGGAGAATGTGGTTGTTGCCAGCAGGCCATAGAGATGCTCAGTGAGAGACACTATGTTAAAAGTATTCATGCTGTTTTCTGAGGGGACAGTAGAAAATTTGTTACCAGTTCACAGGCTGGTGGTGAGAGTCTCACTTGTAAACCAGTAGTACTTCCACCATGGTGTTTATTTCAGTTCATTGATTTATGCCCAATCTCTGCCAATTTTCAGATCTTTTTTTTAAGATTTTTGCTGCCACAAAATTCTGTATTATTCATTAGTTGCATTTTATGGCTTTCTTAAGTAAACAAAACAACAAAACCACACAGGTTAAGAATTAGACTTCTAGGAAAAAGCTGAAAGAGGCTATCCAGAATTACTAAAATGTAAATCACGGTTCCAGAAAATATAAAGTGGTCAAGAATACCAAGGAAAGAAAATTAACTTTTTCCCAGTGCTGATGATTGTTGTCCTTGAAGCACCTAGCAATGCCTTTAATTCCTTCTTTGGTAGAAGCAATGAGAGATGTATGTTTGTTTTGATACTAAAGTTGTAGCTTCTGGTTTATAGTACAGAGCCATTCAAGTTGTTGATGAATACTTGATTTTCATTTCTTGAGAAATGGAGAAGGGAAGGGAAAGTAGGGTTGTTAGAACAGCGCATCTGGATTGAACCATCTCCTGCATTTATGCGTGTTGCATTATGTGCTGCCACTGAAGGTCCTTGTGGGATGCATCCATTCACTCTGCTGTCTATACTGGCCTGTCAGAAGCTGTTGCAAGGGAAACTTGAACATGGACAAGAAGGGAAATAAAGGAGGATGAAAAGTGCTGGTCTGTGTTGAAAGCTGGAGCCTGGGTAGCTGGCAGGTTACAATTCTGGACCTGGGTGTGCCTTGGATTTGCCATGTGACTGTCACAAGCTCTTGAAGTGTTGTTCTGAGTTCCCCATGTGTGAGATGGGGACAGCAAGACAGATCTTGTTAGGCTGAGTTCAGTAACCTCTTCTAAATGGCTATAGCTTTCCACGTGAGAGGGATGGATAAATCCATGAAAGAACTGACAAAAATCTACACCGTTTTCTAATCCTATCCGTAAAGGGTTTGATCTTGCATACAGAAATGGACTTGCTCATGCTACTAAGTCTGCTGAGGGGATGTGAAACTCCTCTGCCTGGATACAACTCCTTACATGTGTCAGTGGCGCCGAAAGCTAGCTCTCGCAGAACTGGAGTTAGAAGATGATACTTCTGTAGTCTAACTTTGTAACTAGCTCATTGTGGGTAAGAATAGGAGGATTAAATATTTAAAGCTTTGAATTAAACATGTCATCCATGTTTCCTTGTTGCCTCACACCTAAAGCTGGTTTGGATGCAGGGAAAATATTTTGTCCGTTGAGAGTATGGGCAGTTCCTGTACCTTGTGCTGACCCTTGTGTTGCTGTGAATGTAATTTACAGTTCTTTATAACAAGATGAGAGTGATGAGTATTTGGCAAGCATGAAGTCTTCATAGGAGACACCTGCTATCCCCAAAGCTTCCCTATTATCAAGAGAATGTTTGAACTCCCAGCACAATTAAAAGAAAAGAAAAAAAAAGAGATAACCCTGGTTTTATATCAGCTCCTTAATAATCCTTTGTCTGCCTTCCTCCCTTCCCCTATTTCTTTGGGATCTTCTAAAATATATGTTTTAATAATAACCACTGGAGAGCTTGGTATCTGTTCCTGTGTTGGATCTCCTTCTGAAATGCCCAGTGCAGAGATAATCAGCCGTACTGCTGTTTGTCTTTGATGCTGGGTAAATACCATGGTGCAGGTGGCAGCATCCTGCTTCACTGCTCCTGCTGCGTCTGTAGTTTTTAATGTGTTAATTTCCTGTGCACAGGAGTGATGGTGTGGATCTCACCATTGAGAGATTTCTCACAGGCCATGCATTAATGACCAGTGGCTTAACTAGGCAGACTCCAATCCCTGTTCTTCAAGTATACAGTTGCCTTAAATGGTCCATGACTGTTCTGTACACAATTTCATGTATCATAAACACAAAAGGATCCGTACTTGGGCACATACATATTTATATTTATATTTATATTTATATTTGAGAAGGTTTATTTATTGCAGACATGCAGATTCTGTTATTTGATAGGCCATCTGTACTTTTGCAGCAAGCCAGATAATCCACTGAGGTGATTTTGTAGAAACATTTTTGGGGGGTTGTTTTTTTTATAGAGGAGGATTCTAGATGACAGTAATGTGTGGGCTTTATTACCTTTGACTAAGCACTTAATGTTGCCTATGAGAGCAAATATTAAATTGGCTATGAGCATGATGCAGTTGCTTGTCCTAGGCTCATTGCTGTTGTTTACTCTGGTTATTTTTGAGGAATTATCCAGGTTGCTTATATTTGTGTGACAGCCTAGCCCACATCCTGCTTAGATTCTGGGTGTACTTTCTGGTAAATTTTTATTTGCTGTTTAGTCCTGCTCACTTGCCTAGTCCCTAAGTTTGACTTGTGTTGGTTATGTTGCCGTTGTTGGCAGCACAAGTAACTTACTCGATTAATGAACCCACATAAAGTAAATGAGGAAACAGAGGGAGTCGGTGGTCCCCAGGACTGAACACTGGGGCTGATCTCTGAAAGACTCCTCCAGGTCTTAAGTATCTTCATGCAGCTCTTTTTATTTTTCCCAAGCAAATTGGAGGTAACTGTGCTTTGGGAAAAAAAAAAAAAAATATATGTGAGTTTATTAAAATACAGAAACTTGAGTGAGAAACAGTTGAAGAGCAATGCTTGACATGCTGGGAAGAAG